AAGAGATGAGTGAAGAGTATGCATGCATTTTTTCAAACTGCAATGCATTGTACTGATGTGTTTCTCATATGTTGCTGTTCACAATCACAACGTGATTGGAATATTAGCTGCAGTGTGTGATGTGCTCGGGGATTGTATTGTTTTTGCAGTGCCTTTCACAGAGTGAAACACGAAAGAAACAGCAAACCCTTCAACATTTAAACACTTTAACATGAAATTAAAAAAAACATTTAAATGTAAAGAAATAAAAGTAGTATCAGAAGAAAAAAAAAAGATTACAAATGTTTCAGAGCCCGTAATCAAAGGTAGTAGTCATAGCACCAGTGGTAAAAATACGAATGAATACTGTATTTTTCATTATTATTATTATTATTATTATTATTATTATTATTATTATCATCACAAAAAAAATCATATGAGTGTAATTTGAGTATTATTCCTTTTGATTATTTTTATTCTTTAAAAATATTTAAATCGTTTTTTAATTATTTGTATGCATTTTTACTAACACTATTATTAGTTGTAGTAGCAGTAGTGGGAGGTAGAATAATGCATTATTGTCATTTATTATTATCAGCTGTTTTCTTTATGTTTTAAAAATATAATGTTATAATTGTATACAATTGTCAACAATTACCCATATGATTTATTGATATAGCTATTTATTTCGTTCGTTTAACACCCTCGACCCTATTAAGGATTCGCGGTTCGCCTGTGGGCACCCTTGACCTATTTAATATCATATGCAGTATGTTACAAATAACTTATATGGTGAGCGGAATATATCTTCCATTCTACGCCTTAAATAAAATTTAAACAACCTCCCCTCCAAAATATCATGCGTTAAAAAAATATTTGAAATTATTTTTAGTGAAACGTCTTTTATGTCACCACCCTCTCGAAGAATAGGCGCGTCCTATTGGACGAGCCTATCCTGGCACGTGACGTCATTACGCCGTGCCTATCTTCGCTCGCTCTCTCTCTTTCACGCTCTTTCTTTTTCTTTTTGGTTGGTATACCAGCAGCATCCGTTCAACCTGTCTCTTTTATAACCTCGATATTGGGGCTTCATTCAAGAACACGTCTGTTCTCGAATGTCCCCGATCACAGCCCGGAATGAACTGCCAGTTTACGTCAGAGGGCGGCGGGTGGGGGGGGG